ATCCCCTCTGATACTGATGGCATGTGCTTTGGGGAGCCCTGAGCCTATTATTAGAGGTCAAAGCCAGAGTCCAAATAGAGACCCCGCAGCCTGCAGCCCACTGTCTTCTCTTTCCATCTGGAGGTACCGGCCTCCACGCCTGAGCCCCTCTTGCACTCCCTGTGCACTGAGAGAGCTGTGTAACTGCATCTGTGATCTATTTAAATAGATGCTGGGAGTAGCAGCACTGGCCCTGGGAGTGGCTGTGGGGCTATTGGAGTAGAGAGGAACTGCTTCCCAGAAGAAGGGGATGTGGTCCAGGTGGGCACGCTCCCTTAGCCTGTGACCTCCGCTCACTGGAATGGGGCGCAGCCAGATCATTGGCTAAGTGGGGGCTGTAAAGTTTGGAGCCCACGACCAGGGTCTAGGTACCCAGGTCTTAGAGAACACTGACTTTGGGAATATGAGATGGGAGTCAAGAATATTAGGGCCAGGCTGGTGTGGCTCAGTGGTTGAACATCGACCCATGAGCCAGGAGGTCATGGTTCGATTCCCAGTCAGAGCACATGCCTTGATTGTGGGCTCCATCCCCAGTAGGGGATGTGCAGGAGGCAACCAATCACTGAGTTTTTCTTATCATTGATGTTTCTATCTCTCTCTCCCTCTCCTTCTCTCTGAAATTAATAAAAGCATATTGAAAAAAGAATATTGGGATATTTGGGGTTAAAGAATCCCTTTGTCAGGCAGGGTTTTCTACATTAGCAATAGTTTTCCATTAGGTGCTGTTTTGTACTCTGCTACAATTTACACAGAGCTCAAGATTCAATCATTACTTCCTGGGTTTCAAACATAAGAGAAACCTTGGTTGTCTGGTTTTCGACATGATCCAAGGAATCTGACAAAATATTGCCAGCTAAAATGCTATCTCCCTTGTTTACAATCATCCTCTTCACCACACGCTATGCTTACGAATTCACTGCTCCAGCTGAGTCCTTCCCCCAGAGGTCATTTCGTTAGATCCGAGCTCAGTCTCCTGGGTCTTCCTGCCTAAATGCGATCCCTGTTGACCAGGAGGGGGAAGAGCCTGTCTATTTCCATCTTCTAGAAGTGACCGCTGGCCCTGTTCATCGGTGAACTCCCATTCATTCATTCATTCATTCATCCCACTAATGCAGTGGTTCTCAACCTTCCTAATGCCGCGACCCTTTAATACAGTTCCTCATGTTGTGGTGACCCCAACCATAAAATTATTTTCGTTGCTACTTCATAACTGTAATGTTGCTACTGTTATGAATTGTAATGTAAATAGCTGATATGCAGGATGTATTTAGGCGACCCCTGTGAAAGGGTCATTCAACCCCCAAAGGGGTCGCGACCCACAGGTTGAGAACCACTGCACTAATAGTTACTAAGCATGTACTCTGCCCTCATGAGCTAACAAGTAAGAAAGTGGCTGAGATAAGCCATGTAGAAATTCAGTGCCATAAGAAAATGATGGTCTGCGTGAAGGTCCATGTCTGGGAGGGATGGGGGAGAGCTTACCAGGGAGAGGAACATGTAAAATGTAAAGTCCGTGAGACAGGAATTGGTGAGTCTGAGAGACAGGAAAAGAAAAGCCATAATATTTGATTTGTAAAGATGCAATCCACAGGTGCGGGTTCGAAGAATGAAGCCCTCAGCCCCAGACACTCCCCGACCCCTTGCTCTCCAGCATTCTGTTCTCTGTGAGGAGAAAACCAGCCTGGGCTCTGGTGTCTCAGCACTGTGGATGGCGAGGAGGGGCGTGGCCCTGAGGGGTGTCTGTGAGAGGCAGAGAAGCACATGGGAAAACAGAGGACCCTGCTAGTTAGTCCATGCATTTTCCCATTGGACAGTCCTGGGCAAGTGACTTCTAGTCGTTCATTCTTTTTATCTATTTGCTGTTTCAAAGACGAGGCCAAGATCAAATCCCTGACAGACTACATGCAGAACATGGAGCAGAAGAGGAGGCAGCTGGAAGAGTCCCAAGACTCGCTCAATGAGGAACTGGCCAAGCTCCGAGCCCAAGGTAAATGAGTGACTACTTTGCAGGTGTCACGCTCTCGGCCTAAGCAGGCACTGTCTGCATTGCTGAACTCAAGATGTCCACTTTTGCTCAATTAAAGCATTTCTCGGTCTATTGATGACAATGGCATCATTGGGGGTGGGGGGGAGCGGGCGGGGGTGCTGGAGAATAATCCAGAAGACTGCCTTCACTCTCTATCTGCTCCACTGCCCACTTTCCCGGAGCCCACCCTGCCACCCACCTCAGAATCCCCTCTTCCCTACTCCTGCTTCCCGTCTATCAAAGGCCTGTCTGTTCCACCTGCTCATCTCCGTCTTCATTGTCACTGCCTTAGTCTAACTAAGAGTTGTGATGACATCCGTTTAGCGAGGGTCCCGCCCCAGTCTGCTCCAGGCTGGCCCCCGGGCTGCAACCCAAGGGACTGTTCTAAAGTCAAATCTGCCTCGTGCCCAACCCCATGCCTCTGACATTGTGGCTCTTAAGGTCAAGTCTGAACTTCCACCAGTGGCTCACTGTGCCCTCCGTCCTCGAACAGGCCCGTTTCCTTGTCAGGCAGCCTCCCGCTGCCTTTGCTGCGGGAAGTACTGAGCCATAGGAAGCATTCAGTAATCTGAGTAAACAGGAGGAGGCTGACTAGACATGCAGAGACCAGACAGGCTTAAAATATATGCACGGAGATGAAACGGAGCACACATATTATGGGTCGCAATGAAAATTGTTAGAGGCCTTTTGGAAAGCATTTTGAGAAACATATTAATAATCTTAGTATTTTTCATACTTTTGATCCTTAAATCACAAATGCTCGTTACAGAATTATATTAGTGAAAAAAAGGAAGTAACCTAAATGTCCAACATTAACTTTGGTATCTTGTTCAACAGAACATTATTTTCATATTGGAGATGAAGTAGACCAAGGCTGCTCAATGCTTACAATGTAACCTTAGATTAAAAATCATAAAGTGTATCTTATTTTTACTGTGGTTATAACATTTAGAAATCAATGGATGCTTATGTTCCAAGGCCTACACACTAATATTTGAAATGAAAATGGTTTTGCTTGCATAATAGGATTGGCGACAATATTATCCTTTTTTTATTTCCTTTATTATTATGTAGTTGTTTGTTCAGTAAGTACATCTTGTTTCAAAAGCCAAGGCAAATTTTAAAAAGAAAGAGAATATATCCACCCCCGCAGTGACCTTGTCATATTTTCTTTATGTGATAACGGATGAACGTTAGGAATAGAATGCTCCACCCAAAACCTGACGCTGCAAAGAACGTTTCCCTCCTATAAAGGGCTTTTGCGGTGTTGTCTGAGTGGAAATAAAATAGAAGCCAGAGAACCTGAAGTAAGGGAAACAGACCAGAGGGGAAGCTTGATGGCTGAGTGTTGCTGTCTTAAATCACTTGCTCCCCCAACCCAACTCCGGCTGCCCATTGCACCATGTGCTCAGGGGCCACGGACCCAGAGGAGGCTGGGACCACCCCTCCCCACATACACACACAGCAGCCCTTCCCAAATAAGAGGCCTTCCTATTTAATCTAGGGAGTATTTTATATTTCTAATGTCTTTGTTCTTGTCCTTAGATTGTTTTTCTATCCCAGAATCTTAGAGAATAGACAGCATGCCCTTGGGAGGTAAATTGGATCTTCTGGACAGTGGCATCGGTTCAGATGCCACTCAGATTCGTAGAGTGCGGTGTAATCTATACAGCGTGTTTATAACCCACAAAGCACGTTTTCCCCCGGGGGGTCACTCACGAGGCCAGGTGGGGGCCAGTACTCGGAGGTGTGAGGTGCGAGTCAGTGGTAGAGTGGCCTGCTCCAAATGAGCACCTTGCCCTGTACGACGCCCCCCTCCCCCCAGGTAATGTCCCAAGAGCGGCCAGCCTGGCTTCAGCCAGTCCTCCCCTGGCAGACGTCCCTCTGTGCCGTGCTTATAATCGGTGATAGAGCTGATGTTCCTGCCACTGCCATTCTTCTGGTTTTGTTTTTTAATTTTTACTATTGGGTGAAAAACCTTCCAGTTAAATCTGAAACTATCGTTTAAAATTCAAAATAGAAAAAATGCACGAAGTCAGCTTCCAGGATAAGGAGAAGGAACACCTGACGCGGCTGCAGGATGCCGAGGAGATGAAGGTGAGCGCGCACTTGGTCTGGGCCGTCTTGTCCTGGGAAAACCTGTCTCGCTCAGAGATGCGGTGGCAGAGCAGGGTGAGGGGTGGGGGCACCCACCCCGGGCAGTCGCAGCCCATCGCAGAGTGTGGCCTGGTTAGAGATGAGCGGGAGGTGGGGGGGTCCAGCTGCCTGAGCTGTCTGTAGATAGTTCTGTTGTATTCCTGCATTATTCTCTCCCGTTCCCGATGAAGAGGGAGAGCGCGGCCCCTCCCAGCCACTGCCTGGGCCACGCGGTCGGGTTAACCCCTGGAGAAATGCTTGTCCTTCCTCTGAACGGAAGAAAACATCTCCCCCTCTACCTTTTTAAAGAAACACCCCGAGTTTGAATTTCCACCTTAAACATAGAGATCTTTATTTTGGGCCACATTTTAAACAGTAAAGAAAAATGCAGCAAATATGATTGGCAAATAAGATTTTTAGGTGAGTAACATGAGATATGAGGAAATAGATCATTTTGATTAGTTTTAGGCAACCCCTGAGCCCCACTGAGGATGAGCCCATAGTGAAAGCCATGTCCAAGGCAGGACCCTGCTCCAGCCAACAGCACACCTGCCTTACCGATGGCCCCTCTCCTGATTCTACATCGCTTTGCGGAAAAGGTCTCCTTTGAACATCACCATTAACTCGTGCAGGGGGCAGGGCGGGGGCAAGTATCTAAGCTGTACAGGGGAGGAAGTGTAGCTCACACAGGACACGGCTTGTCTGACGTCACCCGGGTAGTAGGTCTGTGCCCTCCGACTGACCTGGCTAGAGACGCCATGTGGCTTGGGGGAGCTGGACTAAGACCCACTCAGTTTTGTAACAGATCCTTGGGTTTTGTTGTCTCAGTAAAGCAGGGCGGGTTCTGGGGCCCCAGCTTTGGGATCTGACAGTGAGGGGCAGTGGGGAGGGTTAGAAGAATCCAGGACCTGTCACGGTGCGGGCTGAGAGCCAGCGCAGATGACACACTCTCTCGGTCTGGCTTGCAGAAGGCGCTGGAGCAGCAGATGGAGAGCCACCGGGAGGCTCACCAGAAGCAGCTGTCCAGACTTCGCGATGAAATTGAGGAGAAGCAGAAAATCATTGATGAGATTCGGGAGTGAGTTGGCACGGGGCTCGGGGATGTGGGGTGGGCCTGGTGAGTGGGCCAGCCTGGAAGGACGTGGCTGTCAGCCAGGGCCTCTGCTCTCTTGGCCTGTGGCTCTGGGCCACTCTGGGCCACAGCGGCTAGACATGCTGCTCCCCAGGTCTGTTCCCCCATCTGGAGCTGAGCCTCAGGGGGTGCTGGTGGGGCAGGTGGCAGGCGAGTCCCCCCGGAACAGGGTCATATTGGTCACTCATGCAGGCAGACACCTGTGCCAGTAGGTGGGGATACTATGAAAGTAAAAAACAAAACAAAAACAACAACAGAAACACACCCCAAACCCTAAATTGGTCTCAGAAGTTAACACAGGTTAAAAAATACTCCAGGCCCTGGCCAGTGTGGCTCATGTGGTTGGAGCATCGTCCTGTGTACTGAAAGGTTGCCGGTTGTATTCTTGATCAGGGCACATACTTGGGTTTCAGGTTTGATCCCCAGTCGGGGCACGTATGGAAGGCAACCAATCGATGTTCTATCGATGTTCTCTCACATCGATGTTTCTCTCTTTCTCTCTCCCAACCCTCTCTCTCAAATCAATAACCATATCCTTAGGTGAGGATTAAAAAACACCCCAGAGAAGGCAGCTCAGCTGCCTCCTCACCCCAGCACCCGCGTGTCCACAGCACAACTCCAAGGCCCCCAGTTGCACATGCACACCTCCCAGGGGCCCCTGGTGCCCGCATCTGAGCTGTGGTTCCTTGGTGCTCGCCAGGATGGCATTATTGCAGCTCGTCTTGGTAACGCCTCTCAAGGCCATTCTCCTGTCACGGCCCAGCCATTGACGAGCCCTGCTCCCTCCTGGCCTCTCCCTCCTCCTCGCTCACCGTCCACCTCATCACACAGGTCACCATGCTGGCGGGGCCTTCAGGATCCTCTCCTGAGAGTTCTTAATGTTTTTTTGCACCGTGAGCTCCTTGCTAATTTTTGAACTCTATAGAGTCATGTTTTTAAATGCCCCAAATAAAAAGCAAGGAAAACAAAGAAAACCAACTTTGTTGAAATACGGTCCTCTCCACTGCCACCTCCCCTGCCCCCAGGTGTGGACCAGAGGTTCCGTCCCCTCCCATTTCTGTAAACGAAGAACCGTCTCTATGTGGGAAGCTCAGGGAAATGATGGACTCAGGGTCACGCAGCCAAGTAGGAATCAAACTGGAGTTAGAGTTTAATTCTCCAGACCACTGATCCCAATCTCTTCTCAATGCGTGCCAGCTGCTCACACACACATTTGCATTTTAAGAGGAGAGAGAGGTAACCCGAGCAAGTGTCAGTGGTGTGATGGGCCGCACACCTCCCCTATGGAGCGCAGGTAGAGGGACCACTGCTCCTCCAGCCGCTGCCAGGCCAGCATTCATGCTGTGCGTCTCCCCCCGTGTCTCATGTTCATTATCCTGATTAGTCACCCTCACAATGTTCAGCGCCAGGGGAAAAGAGGGCGGGAAGGAAGGCGAGAAAGAGGGAGGGTTGGAGATTGAGTTAGCAGGTGGGAGCGTTTCCTGGGCCTGCTCCTTCCAGGGGGCCTCTGGGTCTTCCTCAGAGGGCGTATGATCTGCCTCTACAGTCCTGCGGCCACATGAGAGGGTTTGCAAGTGCTGGGCTGCTGTCAGTGTCGACCAGATGCCCTAACCAGATGGCGAGCTTCTTTTTTGCAGAGACCCAAGACTTGATTTGTTTCCTCCCTCTGTCCCACTCCGCGAGGACCTCACAGAGTGGAACTGCCACAGTGTGAGCCAGGAATTTGGATTTAGAATATGTTTTCAGAACATGGGACCAGAGAGGAAGGGAAGGTCGAAACGGCCAAATAAAGTTCCCTGAGTGCTGCATGCTATCTCTAGAATTCTGACAGGCTCTCTGTCTCTGTTTCAAAGGATCGGCCCTTTCCCCGTCTCATTATTTTCCCCTTGAAGCTCTCGCCCAAGCCAACTATAAATATATCCTCAGAGCTGAGTGTTTCCTGCCTCAGGCGCTCCCCAGAAAATTCGTTTTCACTTGGGCAGGGAGGGAGCTGTGAAATTGCTCTCTGGTTCCTCAAACTCCTCCAGAATTGCCACCTTGATTGCACAGAACTAATGGGGTTGGAACAGAACCATGTCTTTAGCTGGAGGACTCGGGGTTTCAGATTGATGGAGAACATATTGCTTTTTCCTGCCCATTTCAGTTTGAATCAGAAACTGCAACTGGAACAAGAGAAGCTCAGCTCTGATTATAACAAGCTGAAGATCGAGGACCGGGAGCGGGAGATGAAGCTGGAAAAGCTCCTGTGAGTGCGCTGTACACGTTTCCTCTGTTTCCTCTCTTTGCAGCACAGCCCTACGGAATCTGCTTTTGTGATTCCGATACTCAAATATCCGGGCAAGGTCCGGCCAGTTTAAAGCAGACGATGGCTGTGTGTGAGTTGGTTCGTTTTGTTGATTTGTCTGCAGGTGCCGGTGGTGTCTATGGAGATCTCTGACGCCCCCTTGGTGGTTCATGCTTCCTTTTTGTTTTTGCTTTTTAGGTTGCTCAATGACAAAAGGGAACAAGCCAGGGAGGACCTCAAAGGGCTGGAGGAGACAGTGGTATGTCAGCAAGTTTGCCAACTCATTTCCATCTTAAAGACCAGATTAGTTTATGATTTGTTGAATTATTTTATCCTACAGTTTTATCTGGGCATGCCTTTAGTGTATCATTTTAGACATAAAATATGCTGTGGAAAAGTGAGAGTTGTAGAAGTTGTTCTCTGGCTCTTGACGGAGAATCCATCCATCCGTCCATCTGTCTGTCCTCAGTACTGTAACCCTGGGACCCCTGTGTAAGAATTGAACTAAGTTGCAAATCACTGCCTGTAATTTTATAGCTTCTGCGCCCTGTGGCCACATCCACTCAACCTCCAGCAGGTACTTGTGGAGCACCTGCGAGGGCTGGCATTCTAGGGGCGTGAGCTGCATGATAAACAACAGATACAACGCTGGCTCTCGTGAAGCGGAATTTTATCTGGAGGAGACAGACAGCAAACAATAGGAAGTAAATGACGAACTCCACTGGACGGTTATAGAAAGCACGGGGCATGGTTGGGGGTGGGGGTGCTCCAGGAGGAGGCCACGTTAGAGCAGGGACTTCAGGCAGTGGGCTTGGGGGTGACTGGACAGACAGCCTTCCAGGCAGAGGCAGCAGGGAGAGGAGTGGCTGTGGTCCAGTGGAAAAGGGGCAGGAGGTGGCACCCAGATGTCAAGGTTCAGTTGCTCAAGTCTCCCCGAGTGTTTGGGCCAGGCGGGGGATGGGACCTGTGTCCAGGGTGGGACTCTGAAGCCCACTGTAGGGGACGACGCTCGACAGGCCGTCCCTGGTTCCCAGGCAGCCCTCTGGCTTTCATAGGACACTTTGTCCGGGCTTTGGGGCTAGACCCTCCTCCTGCCCCATCGATGGGCCTCTTGTTTCCACCTCACAGTCCCACCCTCACTGTCCACGGTGACAGGAAGCTGAGCTCTGAGCTTTCACACAAGGGCAGTGGCCTGCGGGTGGGGAGTGGTCCTGAGGGGAGCAGGTCAGGGCAGGTGGGGAATGATGACGAATACCATAGAGGAAAAGTGGATCTGGGTGCCACCTCCTGCCCCTTTTCCATAGAGGAAAAGCTGTTGCCAAGGGGCTGAATGACAGTTGCCTAAGCATGCATGTGCGTAAGCATAACTTCTAACTACTTTGAAGGTCTTTAGCTGCTCCCCCCAAACTGCTGCATTTGCCGAAAGACAAGCAGAGGGAACGTCACCATGCTCTGGTTCTGTGACATTTGCACTTATGCCCATGGACATGCTCACCCGGCTCCAGGCCGTCCCTTCTCATTTCCCTTTGATGTGGTGGCAATTCTAATGGAAAATTTTTCTGTGATTACGGTTCAGTCAATAATAAAACCCCTGTAGTGGGAGGGAGAGTGTGCCTGGCGGGGCTGTGGGCTCGCTCCTCGGGCAGGAGTGGGGAGTTGTCTGCGCTCTGCACCTGCCAGGAGGTGGCTAAGCCTGGGACAGGTCTGATGTGCACAGTAGTCACCATGACAGACCCGTTAGCTTCCTGGGGAAAGCAATTTACTTCATCGGAGGAAGCAATTGACTTCAGTGCTTCTTATTTCCACACAGAATGTCAGAATTGGACCCCATAATAAGACCTAAATTAACGTAGAACCTTTATTCCAAGAAACTTAGTGTTTCCATAGCTTTTTAGCTTGTCTCCTCCTTTTTTTCTGTGAGCGTGAATGAGCTTCATCCCCTGACATTTTTGTCAAAGTAGGTCAACTTAGACAACCAGAAAAACATAAATGCAAGTTTATCTCTCTTCTCCCGATGGGAAAATAGTTTGCAAGGAACTAATCACAATACCTGGAGACTTGAATGGAAGGATTTTCTGATCTTAGCAAAGATCACCAGGTTCGACTCAGGCTCTTGTCTCAATCAAATTCCTAAGGGTTCATTTGTAGAAAATAATCCAAAATGAAGAAAAAATGCCCCTAAGAAGTTAGTTACCCTGAAAATTATAAGAAGAACCAGCACAATGAAAGGAAGCAATGAGAGGCTAATGAGGAAATGGCTGTCAAGTACGATGCATCAATAAATTAATACTAGCTACTGTTTACTGAGCACCTACTGTGTGCCAGAAGCTGTCCTACGTTTTATAAAGATCATCTCATTTCATCTTGATCACAACAACTCTGAAGCGGCTACTGTTTTGTCCTCACATTACAAATAAGAAAACTGAGAAACTAAGGCACAGAGCGGTTAGATACGTTGCCTGGGCTCACCTGAGCGGAAAGTCTGCCTCATCCATACGCTCAGGGATGCAAAGCAAACGGACCAGGGCCAGGGTGGGGGTGGGGGTGGGCGCAGAAACATGAAGACTATCGGTAAGGGTGGGAAGATGTGTGGCTAACTTTTCATTTAACCTTGTTGACATTATATGTAATGTGCATGTGAGGACAAAACAGTGAGAAATTAGAGGGAAAAAAGGAATCCATTCTGGTCACATAGCCCCTAGGAATTTTGGTGAGAAAACTTGAATTTTTGTGGTTGAGGGAAAAGAAGGTTCCAGTTAGAACATAGCAGGTGAGCTGGCATTGCTCTAGTTTGCGGTTCACTGTGCGAGTTCCCAGTCTCCGCACCGTGGGGTGCACGGAGATGACGCCAGGTCAGTGGGGTGGGCGCGTGTGGTGGGCGAGCCAGGGGGCTTGCGAGTGGGCGGCCGAGAGCCGGTGTGCTATACCTCAGTGCGTCCCCACTCACGCGGCTTCTTCACAACTTCCCTTCTAGTCTCGGGAGCTGCAGACTCTGCATAACCTCCGCAAGCTCTTCGTCCAGGACCTAACCGCCCGGGTGAAAAAGGTGAGCCTGCTGTGCGAACGGGACCAGGTAGAACGGGTGCTGGAGAGGATCCTTTTCAGATGAAGTATCATTGCTTAAACCAAGCTGGCTGTCATGGCAGTGAATGTTATTAAAAGAATGTGCTAGAGGCAGAAATCACTCGGAACGCTTTGCCATCTGATTTTTCCTCCTTAGTGACAGGCAGTTGTAATCCTTTCCCTGGCCTTCATTTCAAGCGAGTGCGTGTGTGTGTCTGGCTGTGGTGGGAAAGCCAGAGTGCAGACTGCAGGGACACCGCAGAGGGCCTCAGACGCCTGCTGGGCGCTGCCAGACGCCAGAGAAGGCAGAGGCCCCTGGGGGCGGGGTCAGAGTGTCTAAAGCACCGTAGCACCCGATGTCTTATGTGCTCTTCCCAGCAGCCAGGTGTGGTGCTTAGTGTTCTGAGTTGCAGATGTGGAGATAGGCTCAGAGGTTAAATGCCTCACTCAAGATCGCACAGCTGGGGAGACCCAGAGGCAGGACTGGAATGCACATCTGTGTGCCTTCTAAACACTGATCTCGGGGAGTTGCCACATGGAGAACCCCAAGAGCAACTGGAAGAGGTTTAAGAAGGGAGGAGAGTGGAAGCAGCAAGGGGGCTATTCTTTAAGATGTTTAAAAGCGATGGAAAAGGGGCCATGGGCCATATCCAGAGGCCTCATAGGATGGGAGGAAGCTATACTTAAGAAAGTGTGTGCATTATGTGCCTGTGCAGGCACATGTGTGCGTGTATGTGTGCATGCATGTCTATGTGAAGGAGCCAAGGGAAAGAAGTGAAATACATAAATAAGAAGGTCATTGGTAGAGTCAGAATCTTAGCATAGATGGATGTGTTAGGGGAAGGGACACATTCTCCCAGAGAGAAATGGAGAAGCCAAGGTGGAGACATTGGCAGGAAGTAGTAACAGTCGAAAGAGCTGCACTGACAGCTTTGATCTCAGTTCACGTGGAGGCTCTGTCCTCAGTGTCAATACAGAAGGAGGCGCGTGGGGAGGCCAGGAGACTAGGGAAGGCTCAGGCAGTGCGGGGGGATTTGCCAGGGAGGAGGACAGGACTGCTGAGCAGCGGTGTGAGTGTCCAGCTGAGAGTCAGAGCAGGCGTTTGCCGTGGCCCTGACAGCATGGCTCTCGTGAGTTTGGAAGCCTGGAAATAAAAATAAAGAAAAGGGGGTAGAGGATGAAGGGCGATTTCAGGGCCTGAATGGCAGTGGTCAGGCAGGTAGGTAGAGACCACAATCATCAGACTAGAAATGGCCAAACGACCTGGACCAGGTGTGGGAGAGAGGTCAGAGCAGAGGTGATGGAGAGGGAGACGAGAGGTTGCGACAAGAGCTGAAGCGGCTCAGTCTGAGGGAGGAGGTGGTCTGAGGGAGGAGGTGGTCTGCGGGAGGGCGAAGAGCTGGAGATCAGACCTCTTTGATTTCATGCTATAAAACTCGAGGAAGGAGCAGAGGTTCTCCCAGTGTGGTCATCGGCCAGCAGCGTCAGCATCGCCTGGGAGCTTGCTGGATGAGCAGATTCTCAGACCCACCCAAGACTCGGTCCACTGAACCGGAGGCTGGGGTGGGGCCAGCAATCTGGGTTCTAGCAAATCCTCCTTCAGTTTCAGACTGAGGACACCCAGGTTTGAGACGCGCTCAGGAGGAGAGGATGTGTAATCAGACGAGGCAAGCACGCTTTTCCGTTTCGTGTTTGCATGCTTTTCCTAACCTGTCTGGCTGCTCAGGTTGGCGCTGCCAGCAGGGCACTGTTTTTGCCAATCTCAAGTTCTGATCATGTAAGAGCCCGGATGCAGTAGTGACTCGTTGGAGGTGAATTCATTAAGGAAGTTTATGGAAGTGGAAGCTGAAGGGACAGCTGAGGCCACTGAGACCTCCCGGTGGGCATGGACCCTTGCCCAGCTGCGATGTTTGAAATCAGCGTTAGGTCTTGGGTTTATGTTTCCACATTGGTTCTTCTTAATGAGTCTTAGGGAGAATGCCATGCGAGACACTTTTGAAAAGAAAAGTATTTATCTACCTGCAAGAGAGAAGTATATATATCACAGAGAGTTAATCTGTATCTTTCAAGAGCAGATTTGAAGTTTTTTTCCAGACCTCTAAAAAATAACAATTTAACATTTTGACACCAACCAAAGAACTAATTTGAGAGGCTGTTGAGTCTAAACTTTTAGAACCTCTGCTGGTTTTCATTTCCAGAAGAGCCTTTAGGGACTGGGTTTAAAGGGAGATTTAGAAAGTCTGGCCTGCACTCAGCTGGGCAGAGGGTGGGCAGTGCCAGGCTCGTCTCGCTGACCCTTGGTGTTGATGCAGAGTGTGGAGCTGGACAGCGACGATGGCGGGGGCAGCGCTGCCCAGAAGCAGAAAATCTCCTTCCTGGAGAATAACCTGGAGCAGCTCACAAAGGTCCACAAACAGGTAGGAGAGCTGTGCGGTCCCTCTGCAGCCCTCTCTCCTGGGCGGGGCCCGCTGCATTGGCCACACTGCAGGGCCACACTGCAGGGCCACACTGCATGGGCCACACTGCAGGGCCACACTGCATGGGCCACACTGCATGGGCCACACTGCATGAGGCCCGTGGAATCCTCAGTCCTCCGTGGCTTCCCTTCTGTCTAAGATACTGTATTTCATCAAAGCCAATGTGAGGAGTTGAGTTCGAACTCTGGGTGTGGGGAGTGGGAAGTTCAGTTCTGTCTTTTCCCGCCACCTGCAGCCCCAACCTCGGTCCCCAACGGGCTTTGGTGTCTCCCGGGAAGCCCCAGAGCTCCACAGAAGGCAAAGCAGGCACTGCCCAGCTGGTCCAGGCCGGCTGCTTTCACAGACAAGGAGGCAGACTGGCCCTGGGCGGGGAGCTGGGGGCATCACTGTCCCTCTGCTCTGTTGCTGTCCCTGGGGCACCCTCTCAGGTTCTTTCAATGCCCTGAGTCTGTCTGGAGACGCAGAGAGCAGTGGTGATTTAGGGCTTAGCTGCCTCCTTTCTGTTGAATGCTGGAATGTTCATGCTGTTTTCCCTAAATCCTAAACACTGGGACATGATGGAAATGCCAGATGGCCGAGGGGATGTCATTTCTCTTTGACTTGTTACGGCTCTTCACCGTTACTGATGCTGTCATTTTTCCTCAGAGGGAGGACCGCAGATTCAGTGTGGCTGATGTTATTGAAGCAAGTTATTGACAGAAATACAAACGTAAACACTGTCAGGGAGTAGGGCTCTGACATTCATGAACATTTTTACTATGGACTCAATGAATATTTACTGCTCTCTGGCAGTCCCAGAACGGGTACTGGGCATACACAGTGACAACTTCTTTGAGCACATTCTGATTTTCAAAACTTTTTTATCCACTTAGATTCCTGCTTTGGTCCTATTATGTCCTTTGTTATAAATGAGAAACCGTGGTGGTCCAATGACTTACCCCAGTTACACGGCCAGGGAATGATAGAGCTTGGGCCCAGGGTGAGCCTGTTGCTTCTGAACGGAGTGTCTTCAGTGGTGAAAGAAAGAGCAGTCCCCCGGGTTGCCCGTTAGCCCGGGATGTACTGCAGAGCAGGTCCCAGCCACACGCAGCTGTGGACGGTGGGTCCTGGTGGGAGGAGGAGGCCTGCGAGGGCCTAACGCGCGCCCTGCACAGAGCCCTTTGCTGGGCATTTCTCAGCTTTCACACGCTGACGTCGGAGCATGCTTTCTCCCAGGAGAGAGGAAGCAAACCCTGTCCGAGCCTGAGTTTCCTGTGGTGGGACTGGCTTTACTTAGACCCTCGCACCCGTGGATCGTGTATTTAGTAATTCGATCCCTTTGCTCTTCCCAGAGGGTTATGGTCATGTGGACTTTGTGCCCAGCAGGGGTGGTCACTCAGCTGCAGAGTCTGCTTCTAGCTGTGCTCCTGTCACAGTCTTTGTCCCCCGAGGTGGGTGCTCCCTGGTAATTGCCCCTTCCCCTCCACCCCAGCTTGTCCGGGACAACGCTGACCTGCGCTGTGAGCTGCCCAAGCTGGAGAAGCGGCTGCGCGCCACGGCCGAGCGCGTCAAGGCCCTGGAGAGCGCGCTGAAGGAGGCCAAGGAGAACGCCCTGCGGGACCGCAAGCGCTACCAGCAGGAGGTGGATCGCATCAAGGAGGCCGTGCGTGCCAAGAACATGGCCCGGAGGGCCCACTCGGCCCAGATTGGTACGTGCCTCTCGCCTGGGCCCTTGCTAAAGGCGAGGTCTCCACCGGCCAGGAGCCCTGGTGCTCTGAGGCCACCTGGCGGTGGTTCTGGAACAGGTGGTCAGGCTTGCAGGACCCAGGCCGCTGCGCCCATCCCAGCACCTGCGTCCACCCTGGAGAAGGCGGTGTCCTTACACGGAGATCCCAGCGTACACTGTGGTCTTCAGAACTGCTGAGCTGAGAGGCCGGCTGGCCTGGGCTGTAGGCAGAAGTGTTGGGCTGTAAAAGGACACCCTGCCAGATATACCAGAATATACAGCTATTTCTCAGCAAGGCCCGAAGGTCCCTGTCCTGGGTGGAACCATGAGGAGTAGGGAGCCAGGGCCTCAGGCAGAGCTGCTTGCAGATGCAGGTCTGGATGTCCTGGCTCCCAGGCCTGGCGTCAGTGAGCCCCCGGTTCTAAGTGCAAGGCCTGGGTTGGGGCATTCTCCCCACACAGGGAAGGAGTGTAGCTGCTACGTCACGTTCCTAGGACAGAGCTGTAGGAATAAACGGGACTTAGGGATGATCTCTGGAGGGCTTTTTAGAAAACTGAAGCGTCTCCAGCAGAATGTACTATTATTGCCCATCAGACAGTGCTGTGCAGAGGTTTTTAAACCAGCACCTTCGTGTTTCTAGTTTTCAGGTTATACTTTAGATTAGTGGCTCATTGGATCTTTTCACCCTTTGCACTTACTGGATTTTATACCCTTAGAAAACCTACTGAAAACTATGGACCCTCTCCCTAGAAAAGGGATATCTGGCAGAATTCCACATCTAACTTAGGGGCTCACAGATGCCCTCGGAACCCATGGGGGCCTGTGGGTCGGCCTCGGACCAAAACTGAAAGTCCTTTGTTTCTCATTTTCCTCGATCTGAATAAAAATGATTGCTACGGAAGTTCTTTCTGTCTCCTAAACATTGGTGTCCTGGGTTAGCTCCCTGCACTAATAGGAGGGCAAACTTTCTTTCAGAGGCTCTGGTGGCTGAGAACGGTAATGCTGACAAGAATTCTGCCTTGCTTTTCACCTGTGGCCTGAAGGTACCTGGGCGTGGCTCTCTGAGTCCTTTCTGACGCCTCTTCTCTCCTTTCTGTTGGTTGACACAGCCAAACCCATCCGGCCCGGACACTACCCAGCGTCATCTCCAACAGCCGTTCACGCCATCCGAGGGGGAGGAGGCGGCTCATCAAACTCCACTCATTACCAGAAATAAATAAGTAAGTCCCTGGTGCTGGGTGGCTTCTGTCTGGGCCAGAGCCCTGCCCCTGCCTGGCTTCCTCCCACGTGTGTGTGGACCTGCAGCAGACAGGAGACAGCTCTGCTCCCACAGGCCCTGGGGTTCAGGTGTCAGGGACCGAAGCCTATCCTCAACTCAATCTAGTGCCCCGGGGTCTTCTAGCTGGGCCACCTGGCGCCGGGTCCCCCAGAGACAGGCGAGGGTGTGGTGAATGAGTCACCTGAGCTTGCTTTTGTCTTTGGGACTCCCCGCCGGAGCTGGCATCCAAAAGGGCATTACCCGTTTGTCAACTGCTTTTACCCAGAACAGACAGACATGGGTGATTAAGTCTCAGGAACTGAATATAAAGCAAAAGCCAGATAATGACAGTCATATTTTTACAGTTACTATCTGAGCTCAACAAATGGAGTGTTTGAAAACTATGCTAATCTACTAGTATATTTGGGTGGATCCAGGCCAGTTTTTCCTTTGAGATAGTGGGCTGTAAACGTCTCTTTCCACAACCCACATGCCTAATATGGTTCTACAGCAAAAAAGGGGGAGAGGTAATAAACTTGGGAAGAGAGAGGAAAAGAGCACAAGCCTGTCCTTTTGAACTTCGAGGTGGAGAACGGGCTGCTGGTTAGTAGAGCAGACAGATAATGGGGTGGCCAGAAAACTGACTTTGAACCAGTAACGTGTGGAAGGGAGGAGGTGGCTCCGGATGCTGGCCTTGACCTCTGAGCCCCGCCGGAGGAAGCTAGTGTGTGAGGGGGCGGGTTTGCACAGCAAACCTCAGTGACCGGCCACGCAGGAGAGCAGCAGCTCCCAGCCCTTTTTGCATCATGGTAAGGACGGGGAACGGAGGGAGGCTGGAGCCCTCACTCGGAGATGACGGCACTGCTCAGGCTCAGACTAAAACTTCCGAGGGGGAAGCTTGGCGGCCCCACCCAGGCACCATTCAAGGAGCAGCAGGGAGGAACAGCAGGGAAGGCCGAGGCAGCCGTGAGCAGGCCGCGTGCCCACTGCCATCTGCCATGTCCGAGATGGGTGGGTAGGACATGAACTTGGCAGCAGCCCACCCCATTCAGATCTGACCTCCACTTCAAGTCGGAAGCAAATAAAATCAGATATTATAAAATTGCTTTGCCTGCCATGTGGTCAGTGTCGGGGTTAACACTGGAATGGACCTGGAAGGTCAAGTTGGGCTACTTAGCACAGAAAAGCCTATGGCACTGGTTCTTGAACTCTGGGGGTGTTGGCATCATCTGGCACCCAGGGACCTAGGCTCATCAAGGTAGCATAGGGACCTGGACCTTGGTATTTTCTTTTTTTAAAAAAAAAATTTGTTTTATTGCATAAAGTATTACAAAGAGTATTACATATGTCTCCTTTTTTTTCCCCCTTGACATTCCCCCGGCCTCCCTTACCCCCCAGTGTCTTGTGTCCATTGGTTATGCTTATATGCATGCATACAAGTCCTTTGGTTGATCTCTTACCACCCTCCCGCCAACCCTCCCCGGGCTTCCCGCTGTAGTGGACCTTGGTATTTTCACCAAGTACCCCAGGTGTTTCATTTGCCACCAAAGCTTGAGAACTACTATCTTAAAGTTACTGTGACTTACATAAGATGGGCGTTTATTTCCGTTGCATAAGGAATTTGAAGTGGTCTGTCACAACAGAAAGCTAGCCTCTTAAATTTAGACTCATTGTCCTCAGCAAATACCTTCCTCCCTTTCTCAAGGTCATCTCAAGGCCACCGAAATGACTGCTACAATTTACATTCCAAGCGTAGGAAGCAGAAAGGAAGCAGAGACGAGGCAAAAGCAGCTCTCCCACTGAATCAGCTTCCTTATTTAAGCAGCCTTCCCAGAGTCCCATACAGTCCTGGTGCCCACATCCCGCTGGTAGAACTGAGGTACACGGCCATGCCTAGCTGCAAGGGAGGCTGGGAAAGGTGGTCGTTTAGCTAGGTGCATCACCGCCCCGAGTAAGAGTAGTGTTTCTTTGCTGAGGACAGGAAGATGAATGCTGTGGGCACCCAGCACTCGGCATTTGCTGAACACCTCGCATGCTGCAGAGCTGTCCTGGATGTAGTACCTGCATTGCCCACTTGAGGTGAGCTTGCAGACAGGTGCCTGTGCTTGGCTCCCAGCAAGAGACTGTGCTCTCCAGGTCTAGAGACGGTGCAGTGGTCACTTCACGAATGCTGTCCCACAGAGGCCTGCCGGACCCACACTGTGTGGGAGGTACGCACAGCGCATGTTGGCCATTATTGCCTGGATATCCTCTTCTCACCCTGAAGATGGAAAATCAGTAGGTCGGCTGAGACTTTCGAAGTAACAGAATGCCCTCACCCACCGTGGTGATTAGTTTCTTTACTCAAAGTGTTATGAGTGGTTTTGATGATTGTATCTGAAACTGGAAGCTCCTCGACCTACTTCATACATACGTACAACTCCTGGGCTGGGTGCTTTTCTCACCACGTCACGAACGGACCCTTTCCCGTTGCCGGGACGCGGTGTAGTTGCAGGTCTGGCCTTAGACACCTGGTCAGTGCCGGGTCCTCTGCTTCTTTCAAGTTATTTCACCTCAGAGCTGGTGTCCTCTTCTGTGGCAGGGCGAGAGTCCTTTCCCTGGGCCATGGACATTGATGTCATGCTTCTAAGCTGCTTGGCGTATAACAAGTGCTCAGTTAAAACGCCAGCTTCTAATATTCATGAGCAGTGCAGTACTGGGTACATAGTAGGTAGTTGGGAAACGTTGGTTTATAATCTCCTTGATTTCATACAGTTGTTACAAAATAATTTTTAGTCTCTAGTAGATCATAACCACTGAGTGCGGTGCGGAAGGCCCATGTCTGAGTAGCCTGTTTGCTGCTATGAGCAGATACAAGGGGTTTTAAAGATACTATCATTTATCTGAAAGTCATAAACAAGAACATTGACTTTATTTTTCTTTTTAAAAAAATATATTTTTATTAATTTCAGAGAGAGGAAGGGAGAGGGAGAGAGAGATAGAAACATCAATGATAAGAGAGTGTCATTGATCGGCTGCCTCCTGCACACTCCCTCACCCCTCTTCCCTCACTGGGGATGGAGCCCACAATCCAGGCATGTGCCCTGACCGGGAATCGAACCATGACCTCCTGGTTGATGGGTCAGCGCTCAACCACTGAGCCACATCAGCCGGGCAAGAACATTGACTATTTTTAAGGAAAGAACAATTGTAAGAAAAGACTGGCATTTGTCAGCAGAGGTTAGAAAAAAAAAGGATAATATCCAATGGAGTGGAGAATTATAACTGGAAGTGAGGAAATGCTAAATCATTTTTAAAGAAATAATTGGAAATGTGAAATTCATTGTTTAGATGAGATCACATTGTGATGGCCTTTCCAAACCCTTGGGAGTCTTGCTGTGAAACGTGTGTGCGCTGGGTGGAGTGATTTCACCTGCTCCCTCTTCCCAGCCCTGTGAGGCCAGAACAGCACGCGGATGGCTCTAGATATCTCTGGGAATTTCTTCTGCTTCATGTTAAGGTTCAAGAACTAGAATCACAATAAGTATTTTGGTTTATTTTCAAGGTTTCGGAGGAACTGAAGATATAGAAATTAAGGTATAGAAAACAAAAGAACCCAGGGCAATGCTGGCTCTTATCTAATCAAACTTAAATCTCGGGGACGGGGAACCTCTTTTTCAGACCAAAAGCTGGACATGGGCAGTACATGCAACAAGTTAAGGACATGGGACATGGCTTTGGCCAGATGTGGGTTCCAGGCCCGGCCTTGACTTTACTCCTGTGTGACATTGAGGATGATTTTTTTCAGCCTCAGTTTCCTCATCCAAAGAATGGGAACGGGCATAGAGGTTGCTCTGTGCTCGTTTTAACAGTGAGTGAGACACAGAGGGCTCTCTTCGTGTGTAGTGATATGCTTGTTTTGGGAGACACAGCACATACACAAGGCAACTTCAAATAGTGGTTATTGCACTGAAGAAAGTAAAGAACAGGGTCATGGAATAGAGACGGAGGATGCTAATGTGGAAAGAGGGGCTGACATTTGAGCTGAGAACTGAATGATGAAAAGCCAGCCACCCAGTGGCCTGGGGCAGAGTGGCACAGACACGCGTGGAAGATGGGCATATCTGAGGAGCCAAGGAAGGCTGATCGGACTAACGCACAGAGAACAGGGGAGACCGTCTTAATTCGGGCTGTTGGGAAGGGAGGTGGGGACTGGATAAGTGAGGCTTTGAGGCTCCGGTGAGCAGTTTAGAGTGGAGTCCAGGTGTGCGGGGCTTTGGGATGGAAATGGTGGGACCTGGTTCATGATAGGAAAGGGCCACCATGGGCTGGGCTTCGGAGAAAGGGCGGGGGCCTGAGGGTAGGAGCAGGGCCTTTCCTAGCGGCGGTTGCTGCTCTCCACTTGGAAGGGGTAGCACTGAGCCGACGTGGTGGCAGCAAGTGCTTAGAGTCAGCCCGTGTGTGAGAGCTGAGGGTGGAGGGGAGAGGGCTGTGTGGTGGAACTCAAAGGTGGTTCCTAGGTCCGGGCCCTAGCAACCAGGTAAGTGTAACCTTTAGCATGACGGGAAATTGGGTGAACTGCAAGTTTGGCTTTTATCATCCTGATTAGGAGATGCCTCTTAGACATCAGCCCAGCTCACCGTCCACGTGGGTGTGTTGAGTAGGCTGTGGGATTGGTGTGTCTGCAGCTGAGGAGAAAAGTCAGGGTTGAGGTGGTGGGGATTGTGTGGAAGGCAGAGGGTCTGGAGGAGGCAGCCCGGAGGAAGCGTGGACAGAGGCAGAGGCCTGGGGGAGTTAGGCCCTGGGGACCTGTGGAAAAGGTAGGTGGCACCACCAAAGGAGAATGTGAGGTCAGGTGGACACCCAGTTTTTAGAAAAAGGTGGTCAGGTGTGTCAAAGGCTGCGCAGAGCTGGAGGAAGATGACGACGGAGACTGATGGTTGGTGAAAGTCAGAGGGAGGTGACCTTGAGCTGCTCAGCAGA